GAGGGGAGGAGGGGAGGAGAGGAGGGGAGGGCAGGGAAGGGCAGGGGAGGGGCGGCTCCCACTCTGGTGCCCGGTGCCCAGTCCTTCACGGCTTCTGAAGGTGACGGTGGCCTCGTGACCACGGTCTGCTGGCTCCCGTGCCGACCCCCGTGTCCAAGAGCAGAGCTGGACACGGCCAGGGCTTTAGTGTGGGGGTCCCAAGTCCCCTGCATGTGCCCGTGGTGGCTCCCCCCGCCCCCGCCCCCGCCCCAGCCCCGGCAGTCAGGGTGCAGTTCTGACGCCGGCAGGCCCTGGGATTCCGGGCCTCGGCAGAGTCTGGCCGCCCATCCCCCACCGCCCGGTGCGGCGCCACCCTCACCCCAGCTGAACCGTCACAGAACCCGGAGCTGGGTTTGCTGCCACAACCTTGGCTTTCAGTCTGAAGCAGTGTGGGACAACCCCCTTTGAATGTTCTCAAGATCGCCAGTGGGGACGTCGTCCTGCACACCTCAGTGACCGCTACGGGCAAACCCACGTGACCCGCTCACCCCTTTGCAAACATCAGCCGAGGGATGGCGTCTCCTCAGACACAGAGTATGTCTTGCAGGGGAGACAGAAAACACATCGTGACACCCTGCCTGCAGTCAGCCCGGACTCAGTTTACCCCGACGTACGGGACCGCTTTGGGCCAAGACTTAACCACTTCACCTTCGTGGTCCCGAGCATCGGTTCTATTTTACTGTTCCTAGCGTGTGAGGGTCTTTATCATCCACGCAAACGGTTTCCAGAAGTAGGAAGGATGTACATTAAAGGTAAACACAGCGGCTGGGGAGTTTCCCAGAGATGCCGAGGCCACAGAACACAAAAGTCACACCCAAGGTGTGGGGCCCATGAGTTCCTGTTTTCAGGTTTCCCAAAGAAACCCCATTTCAGGTGCCGATCACGCGTCTCGAACATTCGCCTCACGGCTGCTCTCCCCGAAACCCCTCAACGTCGCGTGTCGGGGCACGTTCGGTCTCTCGCTTGCGGCACGGCCCCACGGAGCCCCTCGGGGGGCCGCCAAAACCCCCTACACCCGAGTGAGCCCCCTTTCCCAGAGCCGCCCCACCCGGGGTGGCGGGGCGGGCGGTCCCGTCTCGCCGTGTGCTGCCGGCAGGGTCGGTAGGACGGGGGCAGCCGCGAGAGGCCCCCCCCCCCCCCAGAAAAGGACAGGAAAGCCAGACCGACCCCAGGGGCCCCAGCACAATGGCGTGCGAGCACTCACCATGGCCCTGATGTTGTGATGAGTGCTCAGGACGCCCTTGGGCCTCCCTGTGGTCCCGCTGGTGTAGATGATCATGGCGCCTCGGTCTCTCCAGTTCTGCTCCGGCACCCGCCATTCCCCGGGCGCCTCGGCCGCCGCACCGTAGACCGTGGGCGGGAGGGGCAGCAGTGGGACCCCCAGCCTCCCGACCACCGGGCCCAGCAGCTCCACGTACTCCCGGCCAGCAAGGACCACGGCGCTCCGGGAGTCCCGGATGACATACTCCAGCTCGGCCTGCGGGTGCTTCCTGTAGAGGGGGACAGCGACGCCCCCGCTCATCCACGAGGCCCACTGCGCGACCACGTAGGAGACGTCATTGGAGCACATGAAGGAGACCCTCTCCTCCTGGAGGTCCCTGCCGGCACACCCGAGGAGCCGGCACAGCTCCCGGGACAGGCGGAGGCTGTGGTGGTAGAGGTCCTTGTACGTGTGGCGGCCGTGCTGGTCAACAAGGGCAATCCGGTCCCCGAAGGCCAGGGCCCGGCTGAACACGGGGGCACTCGTGTCCGAACAGGCCGCCGGGGCCGTGTGCAGGGGGCTGCCTCGTCTGCATCTCACGGGAGCCGGCCGCCGGGAGGCCGCAGCACAGAGCAGGTGCCGGAGGGACATCACGGGTGGGGGGCAGCACCGCACCCACAAACGTGCAAGTGGATTTACCTGGGGCGGGGCCGGGAGAGAGGGCGCCACAGGTTACCGCCGCCAGAGCAGGGGGCACCAGCTGACATCCCGAACCGAAAGCCACCGCGACACGGCACCTTCCGGACCCAGCGCCCAGGGCCCCGGCCTCGTACTTGCTCATTAAAGGACCTCAAAAATGCAGTTTCTAAAACAACTAAACTAGGCAAAAACCAAGGAAAAGCAAGTTCAAGGCCCTTCAAGTAAATTCTGAATCACTTACTGGCTGCAGAATTACTAGCTACGAGGAGGGAGCACCGAGGGCCGCTGAGCACCTGTTCTCTGTGCCCCCCGCGGGCGCAGCCTGGAGGCCGGGGCACCCGGAACCCACACACAGGCCGCGCTTCGGCTCCGCACGCACCCCTCCCTGGAGCGCGGCCCGGAACGCGGCGGCCTGCAGAGGCCCAGACAAAGTGAGTCTGCGGGTCTCAGGTGCGTCAGTCTGGGTTTAAGCCGAAGGGGACTCTTCCCTCTCCGTCAGAATCAGGACCCCGGGGCCAGGAGAAGGAAGAGCCCTCCGGGAGGGGCTGTGGTCGGCTGACTTCTCCCTGCACTTGTGCTGAGCGCCCGGAGAGGGGAGCCTCCTGCAGCAGGCCGCTAGGCTCTGGGCCACCACCTCCTGGGGACAGCCAGGGGCGTCAGCACTTAGCAGGAGAGGGCGCAGGCTTTCAAGACTGCCTCCGCTGGACCACAGTTTAGAGCTGAAGTTCAGCCCAATTCCGGGGGTCAGGAGCCCACCTGCTACCTGGAGCCTCTGCCACCAGCATGACCGGAAGACTCCGGGTTGTGCGACCGTTCGCTCTGGGTTGAAACCCCCAATTTCGCAGGTCCTTCAGCTCTCACTGCTCCTCACTGTGCCCCCCTCCCTGGGCGCACCCCGCGGCCTCTGCCCCTTCTGGGCTCTGGGTCACCGGCAGTGAAAATGCACCTCCCGCACTAGGATGTGTCTGCGCCCCGGAACCCCCTTCGGCTGCGGCCGGGCTGCTCAGTGGGCAAGGAAACCACCTCGGACTTACTTCGCACAAAGAAACTTCCAAGGTGCCCAGCCCCCAAGTCAGAGACAGAGCCCAGCCAAGCCCACGCCCCCCCCCCCCCATCCCGGAAGAGCCCCCCGCCCCCGCAGCAGAGCCTCCCATCCCAGCCACACCCACCAGAGCCCACAGCCGGTCAGGAGGCATGAGCCCAACCAATGACCGCACACCGCCGGTCCCTGGAGGGTGGGGTGGGGGAGGACAGGCACAGGGACCCCAGAGGGCACCTCTGGATATGCTACAGGCTGACGGGATGCCGGCCGTCCAACAACACTGTAACAGAAGCTGTACATCTTGCCCCCTTCCCAGCAGGCCCAGCAAAACAGAGACCAGGAGGGGCCCAGGCGCCCCCACCTCCTCCCCCATGCTCTGTCTCCCACTCTCTCCCCCCACTCCCCCTGCTCAGCAAGTTCTCCCCCTGACAAACCCTGGCTTTACTCTTTCATTCACTTGCCACAGGGGAAGACTAATGTGTTATTGTTTGTTACACGAAGGAAACGGTTTTGTTCTCTGTTCTTAATTTAAAAACAAATTATACACAACACTTTATAATTACCCAACAAAACAAACAGGCTGCGGAAGTGTGAAGTGTGCTTTGTGTGAGCCCCTGAGCCCCTGGCAAGCAAGCAGTGCGCCATGCAGTGTGGGCCCCCCCACCCCCACCCCGTGCAGTGTGGCAGGCCGAGGCTTTCTCCCGCGGCCTGGGGGCTCCGCAGGGAGGCTCTGGGCGGCCTGGCGGGGGGCCTGTTCCAGCAGCCACCAGGGGGGACCCCACCCGCACCGCGGGCCTTTCAGGACCCCCTCAGCTCCCGCTGCTGGCGGAGGCCCCGGGCGAGTCCGCCTTAACAGTCCACAGCCTCCAGCCGCCTAAGGGTCGGTTCTCAAACATACCGGACCCCACGCTCTTTCCAGATGAAAGAGGCAGTCATTCAAAGCCCCCGTGTCCTATCACTTCTCTGGGTCCTTGTCCTGCCCTCTTCCCGTGGGTCAGAGGCGGATCCGTGGCTGGGTCTGCGCGTCTGCTACTATAAAGCAATCTGACATGTGATAAACATGTTTCGGAGAGAAAGTAAGCTCGTGAAGAACAAAGCAGGGTAGCTTGGACAGGTTTCCTTTCACACTTCTAGCAAATTCTTCTCTATTAGCCGTAGTGGCCAGAGGGAAAAGAAGAGTCTGCGGACAGAAAGCCTGCTACCAGGCCCTTCTGGGCCACGCGGAGGCCGGCTCTTCTGGGGGAGAGCACAGGACAGGTGCTCAGGGCGCTAGCTGGGGGTGCTAAGGAACGGAGCACCCCAGCAGCCGCCAACAGCTGCCTCCTCCTCCACCTCTGTCCCCAGGAGGCACCGGAGGGGGTGTCAGGCGTGGGGCCGTGACTGCAGCCACAGAAATCCACGCCACTTTCCTTTCATCCACATGTGCTCCCACGTCTCCCCTCCAGGCCCTCAAAGAACAGACACCTCCTGCCTCCCTGTCACTGGGAGATGGGGGTACGCTGCCTGCGTGTCCCGGGGTCCCAGGAGCTGCGCCACAGCAGGGGCAGACGGCACTGAGAAGCTGGAGTCTGAGCCCTTGGACCCCGTGCCCTGGGGTCGGTCCTGAGAACCGGAAAGCAGGGCTGAGTCCACCCTCTCTCCCTCGCCGGGGCCTCGGCTGGCCCCGTAAACAGGGCTGGGGACGGACGGGGCAATGGCCCCAAGAGGCAGACATCTGACTTCGACCCAACAGGCTTCACCAGCCACAAGCCAGGCTGCCCCAGGGCATCGACTCAGCCACCCAAAAGGATACTTCACAGTCAGCTCAAGATGAGACCAAAAAGCCCCAGAGAACACAAGCCCTGTGTTCCCACAGTGGTATTTTTAAAGCATAGCCTCGGAAAATACTCGAGACGTGCACCACGACGCACAAACGGGACGTTCGCTGCGATGTTATTTACGATACGGAAAACTGGGACTCAACCAGAGGGTCCAAAAGAGGTTTAAGGAGATCAGGGTGAGCACGGGGTGCCGGGGCCCCAGCCCAGCTGTGGAGGGCGCGTGCTGACCGCCAGGAAGCGTCCTGCAACGCCACTGAGGGAAAAAAAATGGTTGCAGCTGAGAAGCCTTGAAGGCGGACACCAGGTGATCGGGGGGGTTGTGGGAATCAGGTGATTCTTGGCTCCTCTCGGTGCTTCCCAATTTTCTCCAATTTTTCTGAAATGAGCACGTACAACTTCCACAGTCCGGTGTTTCAAAAGCCTAATAAATGTCATTTAGTTTCCAAAAGTGGAGATGCTCCACCTGCAGCATTATTTTCTTCTACACAAAAGAGACAAAAATATAAAACCATTTGTTTTGGATGGTGGGTCTGCAGGGTGTCTGTAGCTCTCCATAGCTCTTTAGTTTCTCAAAATGATAGAAGCAAATAAAAAGGAGACAACAGCGTTTTTCCTTCAGTTAAAACTGCCGGTTCGTAAGAGGCTTGTGCAGACGTGGAAACATCGGTGTCGATGAAGCAGCTCCTGCGGCGGCCGCGTGGACGGGGACACACTAGGCATCTCCCGCTACCAGTGTGAGCGTCTGGAGGCCGGCGAGACCGGGACAGATGCCGCGAGCGGAGGGCTCCCGGAAGCACGGCCTCAGGCCAGAATCGCCTCAGCTAAGGTAAGAAGGAGCCCGCCGGGCAAATGTCCGGGGAAGGAGCCACAGGGCGCACGTACTGGGCTCCCAGGGGGTAGTTCGTGGAGCAGATTCTGAGACGTGGCCCTCCCAGGGCTCACCAGGGGGCCTCACAGCAAAAATTACTTTTAATTTGGGGAAATACTGCCGGAGTCCCCTCCAGAGAGGATGCGCTAATTTATTCTGGCACCATCCCTTCAAGACGGCTTTTAAGTTGCCCACCTAAGTGACCCTGAAATGACTCGTCATGAACTCTTGTAGACAAGGCTAGTCTTCAAGATCAGGGGATCAGCACCCCGACGGGAACAGGCAAAAACATACCTCTATCCAGGGCAGATGACTGTGTGTCATCCTCCTGGACACCTTTGGGTCCAGAAGGACCAACAGACCCTTCAGGAAGACAGCCCCACCTTCCAGCCACAGGGCCTCCTTGGTCACGGGGACTCCACCACCCCCAGTGGCTCAGCTTCGACTGCCACTGCCACCAAGTAAATGCGGTCAGGCCACGGGTTCTCCCTGTCTCAACGACCCAGCTCCACGAAACTGCTCTTGGGTCACCAGCCGGCCCCAGATGGCCACGGGCACCAGGCTGCGATGTGGCAGGATCCCGGCCAAAGACCAGAGGAACCTGCATTTTGGTTTTCTTCTCCCAGGACACGCTGCTTTCAGGTTCCTCCAGCGGTGAGAAGCCCAGCCCGAGCCCCCCGAGGCCGCTGGTTATGCTCACCACCCAGACTCTCCGGCGGAACCGAAGCCCTCGGGGCATCAGGAAGGTGGTGGGGTCACACCCATGGCTCAGAGCACAGGCTCCAGAGTCAGCACAGGCCTGCACCGGGCCTCTGCTCCTCCCCCCTGAGTTCTGCACCTGCCTAAGCCTTCACTTCCCTTTGGTTACAAGGCCTGCGTGCAGCCTGTGCAGGAAGGACCCAGGGGCCCCGCAGCAGGAATCACTTCCTGAGTGATACTTGCATTCAAACGAGGGTGGCTGCTTTCTAAATGAGTAAGAGCGCACGTGACGGCCCCCAGAACCCGAAAGTCTGTATTTCTAACAGGCATCACGGTGCGTCCAGGACCGCTACCCTCAAATCAAAAAACCCAAAGGGGGAAAGTCCTGCTCAAACCCGGATCCGTATCAGGAAGTAAAATACTGTTTCAAAAGTGCCGCCTGGAGGCGTGACACGGGCCCAGGCCGCGTTCCACCCGGCTGATTCGGTCCGCCCTTGGGCACGGCCCCGCACCTCGCGGCGG